TGTTGTTCATCCAAAAGATTCCCCACTTGGGACCAGACCCGATCAAGTCAAGTCAGTCAACAATTCCAACATCCGGATCCTAATAATTGCTTGGGACCTGTCCATGGTGGTTCGTATGGAGATCTACTGATCTAGTCAAGTCAATGATGCTTCATACTATTTATAACTTAAAACAATTAGACAACCAACCTAAAAACATACTCCCCCCATCCTAAAAATCTAAGGGATTTTGAGTTGTTCTAAGTTTGATAAGGGTTTATAACCAAAGGGGAGGCAATTTCTTTTTCTTTATTTTATTGTAGCCAAAGCTGATCGGTATTGAGATTTGGGAGCTTGTTCTTTTAACAGGATTTGAAGTTAGAAAATATGTGACGTAAAATCATAAAGCCTGATATCTTTTTTCTATCTATGCATATCTCCATGTTCCAGTGTTTAGAGACTCCCCCATTCTTCATCTTAGTCTGCAGCGTGTCAACACAGGTTCCTTCCAGTCTATCAAACTTGATGGCCTAGTAGTTTGCAACAGTAATAGTATTCCATCTGTTGAAGAATCCAGACATAGCACATCAGAGAAACTAGCTAGAAGTATCCTTATAATTTCTTCCGATTCCCATTGGGAAATTCCAACCGCGTTGTATGATACCTATACATGCAAGGGTTGATTCAGTTTTGTTGTCCATGTAAAAGATTCCCCAATTGGGACCGGAACCAGACCCAATCAAGTCAAGTCAGTCAACAATCTTGTCCATGGCGGTGGAGATCTAGTCAAGTCAATGATGCTAGCTTCATGCCAAGAGATAGCAAACAAGAACACAAGTCTTTGGTCTAAGTCAAGCCGGCAGATGCATGCACGAGTCTCTGTTGCGATGTCTGAACAGATCTAAGTCAAGTCAGCGAGGATGGAATGGAAGCTGCATATATCACTAGTAGAGTATATAACAAGTGGGGGGTGGTACCATGGAGACGAACGAAGGGAGGAATCGGTCAGGGCTCCTCCGGGCGGGCGACGAAGAAGGCGTAGAATCCGGCGACGATGGTGAGGATCCCCAGGACCCAGACGAGCAGCTGTGCCCAGGGCGGCATCATGGCGGCGACCTTGTACGAGAACATGAGCGTGAGGAGCGTGGAGAGGCCCCAGACGGCGAGCTTGAGGCGCTGGTCCCTGCGGCGCTCCAGCAGGTGGAGGCAGCGGAAGAGGAGGACGAGGGCGGCGTAGGCGGCGAGGACGAAGCCGACGGTGTAGGGGTCATCCCAGGAGCGGTAGACGGCCATCCCGCAGTTGAAGCTGAGGAAGGCGAATCCCATCGACGGCAGCCATCCCGGGCGACCGTCGCGGTCCATGGCCGCTGGCCGGAGCAGACCGGCGGCGCTCCGTGTGGTGCAGATCTACCGCCGCCGCCCTGATTCGGATGGGATGGTTTTCTCCGATGCGAGCGGAAGTGGGCGGGCCCCACACGCAACACGCGGTTTCAAGCATCGTGTGCCACCGTGCGACGTGACTGGCCAGTGGGCTGTGGCCCCTCCAGTACACTTTCCTGCTGCCCTGGCCCTGCTACTGCTACTGCTGCACTGCTCATCGTGCGACGTGACTCGGCTCCTCTTCGCGCCCATGCTCTCGTGCAAGATCGCCGTCATCCTCATGCCAGCTCTGCTCCGCGGCGCGTCTCAGGTCATGGGGATCCGCACCATCCGCGGGATTGCACGCCTTCTTCTTCGCCCGTCCGGGAACAGACGATCCAGATATGATTTTGCTTCACGGTCCATGCGCCGAGATGGTAACTATGGTATACGTCCCTACCCTTATTATCCCTGCTTCTTGCTCATTCTTATTCTTTGTGTTTATTATTAGGGGTAGCTTAATAGCTTTTTTTTTTGGGTAACTTTGCCTCACCTGACTTTAATTTCTTGACTAAATAAATGGTGTACTTGACAGTCAAAGCCAGTTTATCCTTTAGATGGATGGATTTATTATTCACTGAATTTGGCAGGATGGCTCGGTTAATTATAATAATGAATGGCTTCGTTTCAATTTATTTATTGATAAAGCGAACAAGAAAAAAAAGTTTACTTGCAGCTTCTTGTCACCCTAACCTTTAGTAGCCCTATTTCTGTAGCTAGTTGTCACTTTAATCTTTAGTCTTTCCACGTGCATGCCTGACTTGACTTGTTGCATGAATGGCTAATTTGGGTACAACGTACATGTTCGGTTTTGCTTTGTTTGTTCCATCTTTTTGATATAGTCTATAGATGGAAGGCACGTGCAACATTCTTCAAGTGGAGATCTGATTACAAGCAAGTGCTCGCCAACATTAGCAGTCAAGCGCCCTACACAATTGATGATCTAGTAAAGATGTATGAGAAATCTAAACTGAAGGTTTGTTTGATACACGCGGCTATGGCTAAAAATTAATCTAAATTAGCGGCTAGCTAGTTGTTAAACAATTAGTTTAAGACTTGCTAAAAATTAGCCCACCTATTGATCCTCTTATTTGAATGCAATAGAGCTAGCTAATTTTTTAGCTAGCTAGCAATTAGTCATTATATGCAAACATGCTTTTAATGGCGGCGTCATAAAATTTGTCAACACCGAGTACAAATACTACATAAATGAGTACATAACTGTGAGTTCACAATCTAGTTGCTCTTAAAATTTCTTAGAGGCGCTCCTGTTGTCAACTTCATGGGGTTTGAGAGTTCCATTCCATGATGTTCATTTCATTTGTTTCCTCTCCCAGATCCCAATAAGAAAGCAAATCGAATGGAAATGAGGCATAATCAGACTATCTTTCAGTTTGACCGTTTCTTACATGTCAGATTAATAATCAAACAAGTTGACATTACGTCCCACCTTCTGGTTAGCTTGATAGGGCTATCGCTTGCATGATTAGGAAAAAAATGTAAACATATGGCAACACCGCCACTGAGGGTCGCAGAGAGGAGTGCCGGCGGGAGGGAAAAATCGAGGAGCACGATGACCGGCAAGCATAGGCGAGGAGGAGCGATGAAGACAACCTCCCTCCGCTTCATTTCCTCCAAGCCGGCATGGCCTACTCCCAGGCGGCATGGCAGCCTCCTCCCTTCAATCTCCTTTGTAGAGCGGGCGCCGACGTGTACAATTCTGTGGGTGCGAAGTGCCCTGCAGTTTTGTTCCGCTGTTTGTCTCTCCCATCCCTTATGATTTTTCTTTCAATTGCTAAGAGCAAATCTAGTGTAGAGATAAATTGAACCTTAGTGCCATAAAAGCGAACCCAAGACATTGTGAGAGTCGAATCATGTGTGTCAAACGCAAAAAGCACATTCTGCATAAGAGCCAAACCGAGCTACAAAAGCACATTCGCACATAAAAACATCATCATCTCATTAGTGAGCACATGTACTCACGTGTGGATACACAGCTATAACATTTTAGTTACATGGCGAGGCCCATAGAACGAAATCGATGGCGCACTGTAGTCTACAGACGTCCAACGCTTTTGACATCTTGCTTCTTTTACAAAGTAAAGTCGATGTTACACCATCGAATCCAATTTCAACATCAAAAGATGTCACGTAGTGGCGGGTCTAGAAATATATGCTAGAGGGGCTTCTCTTCCTTATTTTCTATATTTAGCCTCTTCTTTTAAGCTTTGACCACAAACTTGTTGCGGGGACTTAGAAGGGGCTCCATACATCTATGGCGGTAGCGTGGGCTCGAGCCCTAGGCAACTCGGGGGCAACCTGGTGCTAGATCCGCCCCTAATGTTAGGAAAGTTATACGACTGCTACGAGCAAATCAACAAATCTACCAGCATAATATGCCGTGGGACATTCGGATCCTATGGATGGATGCGCGCGCCATGCAAGGAAGGGCCAAAACAAAGTAAGTACGAGATTGATAGAAAAAATAAACGTAGAAGAATTATAAGTCGTTCTCATATATATATATATATAATATATATATATATATATATATAATATATATATATATACTACTTCGTAGCTGGCTACAAAATAACTTATTTTGTAGCCACTTTGAGTTACGATAATTATAGTAAGGAGTTACTATAATTTCGTAAATTAACATAGTAATTATGAATCTCAAAGTGGATAAGTTGCGTAACTATATATATATATATATATATATATTCTTTGGTAATAACATGCAAGCGGAAGACGATAATTACTATACTAAACTATATTATAGTAAGTGATTTACTATAACATTATGGTAAATATCACCATGAGTTATAAAAATAAAGTATAAATGCATAGAAGAATTACAAAAGTTGTAAATCATATTTATATATAGTTATATAGGTATACCCTATATATATATATATGTGTGTGTGAAAAAAAAAACTATATGTACTTATAAAAGTCACTTGTAATTTAGAACGGAGAAAATACTTATTTATAAACGAAGTAGCTTTCAGATCCTAATCATGCAGCACAAAGAAAAAAGGAAAAAGGCTGAAATCAGATCCTAATCATGCAACACAGAGAGGAAAAGGCTGAAAGAAACGACGGACGAGTGATGAGAGCAGAGGCAGAGGACGAAGGATGCAGCAGTGTAGGAAGGCACCAACAGAAAAAAGCGGTGGCCGGGGGCATGCGCTTCTTTTGTCGTTTGGGACGTCGTCTTTCTCATCTCACGCAGGACTAGTAGTGTACACGTCGTCCGATCCGTCGCGATCACTCCCGGACCGGCCGTGGTCTTCGTCTCGTCTCGTTGGTGCGCAAACGACGACGTAACGTGCCCGGTGCGCGGCCGGCCGGGGATCGGATCGGATCGGATCGGAGGAGAAGCAGGAGCCTGCAGGCGGCGGCTACCTGGTGCTTCCTCCGTTATATTACTCCTCCAGTGTCCAGTGTCCTCCTCAACCCTCATTGCTCATCTCATCAACTAGTCTGAACTCTGAAGGACGACCTGTCGGTCCATAGCCGCCGGCCGGATCGGAGTCGGAGCGGAGCAGAGAGGGGTTCCAGTTCCAGTCCAGCGAGCAGATCCCGTTCACTGACAGATGGGTTCCTACGTGCAAGGTGAGCCCGGCCGATCCATATGCTCAACAATTTCATTTCCGTTCATGTTTCATTCATTTCTTCTCTTAATTCACGCATGGTATTCTCAACCGATGATCGACGACTGTTTTTATTTTTGGGGTTCCTCCTTCTGATGAATCTGAGCAGGAGATGAGGAGGTCCCGGTGTATGAGTCAGGCGCCGAGGTGAGTCACCCGCATCCCATCCACCTCCTCTCCTGCTCATCCATATCCATATACGCATCCATCTTCTTTTATTTGTTGATTTTTGTGCGTCCTCTTCTCCGTAGCTTTAATTTTCCTTTCGGCGAAATATTTGTATAGTGGGCACCAGATAGCTACCTATAGACACATCCTGCAATATTGCAATATACACTACTCTACTCCATCCGTTTAACCAAGTCTATATCATATATATATAGTGCATTAGTTTGTTCAATATTGTAATATAGTATCTATAACCTTAACCAATCAAAGTTAGGAAACTAAAGGGTCCTTATCAGACCCAAATTATTGATGGCCGATTTCTCCTTGCAAGATGACTAGACACACATTAGTTAATTTATTATTGATGCATGGGTGCTCAGGAGTGAGGAGTCACAACCCACAAATTAGATACTAATACTCTATCTGTTGTTCCATCATCACTATCTCAATTTCCCACTAACATTATTTGAACAATGGTAGAAACGACCTTTTTATGCATTTATTTAATAATAATGGGCAAAACATCCGAGTGCAGGTGCTGCAGAAGGTGCAAGAGAAATGGGCGGCGGCGTCCGGGCCGCCGCCGTACCCGGCCATGTACTCGAGCGTGTTCGGCGGCATCATCCTTGACCCGGCCATGATGGTGCTCCCCATCGACGACCACATGGTGCACCGGGGCCACGGCGTGTTCGACACGGCCATGATCCTGGACGGCGCCCTGTACGAGCTGGACGCGCACCTGGACCGCTTCCTCCGCTCCGCCGCCGCGGCGCGCGTGGGCACGCCCCCGTTTCCGCGCGACGCGCTGCGGCGCATCCTGATCCAGATGACGGCCGCCTCGGGGTGCCGCAGGGGCTCCATCCGCTACTGGCTCAGCTCCGGGCCCGGGGACTTCCTGCTCTCCTCCAGGGGCTGCCCGACGCCTGCCTTCTACGGCGTGGTGATCGCGTCGGAGTACGAGCAGTGCGGGCGCGACGGGGTGCGCGCCGTCACTGCGACGGTGCCCATGAAGCCGCCGCAGTTCGCCACCATGAAGAACGTCAACTACCTGCCCAACGTGCTGTCCATCATGGACGCCGAGGACCGCGGCGCCTTCGCGTCCGTGTGGGTGGACGAGGAGGGGTACGTCGCCGAGGGGCCCATGGTGAACGTGGCGTTCGTCACGCCGGACAAGCACCTCATGCTCCCGGCCTTCGACAAGATCCTCGGCGGGTGCACCGCCAAGAGGATGCTCGCGCTGGCGCCCAGGCTCGTGGAGTCCGGCCTGCTCGCCGGCGTCAGCACCAGGAACATCAGGGCCGAGGACGCCAAGCGCAGCGTGGAGATGGCGTTCGTCGGCAGCGGCCTCCCCGTGCTGCCCGTCGTCGAGTGGGACGGCAAACCCATCGGAGACGGTACTTAATCTGAATGGATTGAATTGATGGCATGGATTGAATCATACACTGAAATTGGTGCGTGCTTGTGCAGGGAAGGTTGGGCCGCTGATGCAGGCGCTGTCTGATCTGCTGTGGGAGGACATGAAGTCTGGCCCCGACAGGATCCCCGTTCCATACAAGCAGTAGCGACCAATCCCGACAAAGCTGTATCTCTGTCACGGTACTTAATTTCCTCGCTGCTTGTTGAATCAAGTACTGTAAGCCGTCACCAGTTTGTCGTTGTGACAAAACGAATGGTGGTTGACTTGACTGAATAATACAGCATGCGAGAGCCTCCCTTTCTATTAGGAGTACATATATATGGACCTGATGAGCCTGTTTCTGATGTTCTTCAGTTTGTTGTTTTTCAGCTCGCATCTTTTTCTTGACTGTGCATGAGTTCTGCTTAGACATGGCGCACCTGTTGCGTGCAGTCGGCAAAATGCAGCGAATCAGTTTTTTTGTTTGTCTGACAACCGCAGAGCAGAGTATATACTGGACACTGATAACATGCCGAGATCACAGCTCTAGCTGAGCTCGTACAAGTATGCTCGGATTTCAGCCAAAAATCGTATCGTGTTATTCTGACGACTTATATAATAGGAAAAATGGATGTGAATTTGCGATGATGATGAGTTTTTGCAATGGCTTCCGTAACCGTCTCTCCCCGTCCTCCTCCTTCCCCGTGCCTCCATCTGCGGCGCCCTCCACCGCGTCCACAACCTCGCCGGCGGCTTGCCAGCTGGCTCCGGAGCCTAGAACAGGTTGGAAGCTCCCTAGAGGTTGGATCTCGGACGGAGCTCTGGGGGGGGGGTGTCTCGAGGGCGCGAAGTGACACGTGGATGTGTTCCCGACGATCGCGGAAGGTGCTCGCCGTCGGACCAAGGATAAGAAGTTCGGATTCTCGATTGATTCCTCGATCTCCAACCGCAAGAGCATAGCAGCAGAGAAATCCTTTCCGTATGAGGAGATTGAGAGGAATGAGATGAAGATCAAGTCTATCCCGGTCAAATTCAATTGGAAATCCAATGGCGATTTGGGCGGAGTTGGTGCGAGCGTAAGAGATTCAGAGCAAGTGCCGATGGCGGGAACCAGCAAATTCAAGCTCAAGGGGCCTACGCATCAGCATCCCTGGTTCTGGTTACCGCCGAAGGTACGGATAGTACCCGGGATTTTGGGGAGATCTCCGGAGGAAGGGCCACACGGCATCCATCCGGGAGGGGTGAGCGAGAGGTTGGGGGAGACGCCGGATCTGGTCACCCAAGCTTTTTCCACCTCCTCGTTCCTATTCTGCAGCCACAGAACCAGTCGCATCAGATCGGGGTTTCTAACCCTAACCCCCGATCCCCCCACCCCAGTTTCAGAACCCTCCTCCCAAATCCAACATCTCCAAATTTGTCGGTCACTTGTGGGGAGCTCCATCCAAATCCTTTGCTTCTATGGTGCGTTCGGTGCCTGCAGGTACAATTGGAGTGATGAATCAAGGAGGAGGTCGCCGCAACAACGTATGGGGAAGTGGTGTGGGTGGTCATGGATGGAAGGGCGGGGCCGGAGGTTTTGGTGGTGGTAATCAAGGTTTCGGTGGAGGTCCTAAAGGTTTTGGCAGAGGTCCAGGAAGGGGTGATGCTGGAAGAGGAAGGGGTCTTAATGACTGGGATCGTAAAACTTAGGAAGGCGAACCCAAGATTGCTCCGCATGAAGAAGCTCCAGCTGCTGAAGAGCAAGCTAATGAAAAGTGGGATCAAGCGGCCGACAAAGCTGGTGAAAATCAAGTTCATGGAGAGGCTACTGAACAGAAGATCAAGCCTAGGGAAGATCAAGGTAATTCTGGTAATGAGTTTGCTGATGCTCCTCGTAACCCTCCTAATCTGGCTTAGAATAGGGTGGCATGTGAGAACTGTGGGCTCTTCAACCATACTAGCAGAGACTGTCGAAGGATGGTATGTGAGATCTGTGGCTTCAACAACCATCCAATCTATGAATGCAGGAGGTGCATCTTGTGGAATATTGGCCCAGAACTTTGTGCAGCCTAGGTGGAGGATCAGAGCTTCTTCTTCATTGAGGAATCCATTGACCCAAGAGTCTCCAGGGAGAAAGAAAGTATTGTTGTGATATCAATCTTACAGGGGCATGCAACCAGCAAACAAATAGAGCAACAGTTAATGAGTGTGGATGGTTCTAGTAACTGGAAGTGGAATGCTAAACATGTTGGAGAGAATAGGTTTGTCATGAGGTTCCCCAATGCAAACATGGTGGTGGACTAGAGTAAGTTCAAAGAACTAGCAATGGAATCAGCTGATGCTTTAATGAAAGTGGAACAATGATCTCCCAAGATTGGTGCTAAAGGTGTTCTGTAGCAGGCTTGGTTTAGGATCAAAGACATCCCTGGTGACCAAAGGTCGATTAGGACCATTGCTAAAGTTGGGGGCTTAGTAGGCAAAGTCATGGAGATTGATGAAAAGACAAGGTTTAGAGCTGATTATGTGAGGGTCAAGATTGCTTGCAGAGACATTTCAAGAGTTCCCAAAACTACAGACAGCACCCTGGGGCTATACATCTATGATTTTACCTTTGAGAGAGAGGTGCAAGGTGATGGTACTGTCAAAACTCTATCCAGTGGGATCAAGATAACTGAAAAGGATCACCAACCCAAAAGGTTCAAGGTTGATGAGCCTCCTAAGACCCTTCAAATTACTAGCTCTTCCAGTCAAGGTGGCAACCAAAACTTTGGGGTTGGATCTGATAAGAATGTGCAACAACATAAAGCTGCTGTTACCACCAACTCTACACCTCCTAAGGTGAGTGGTGGCAGAATTGCTAGTAATGAGAAAGCTAAACAAGTTGTGACTTAGTAGAACATTCAACCACCTAACTCTGAAGAACAGGTTGATAGAGTTTAGATACCTGACACTTTTGAGGAGTCTGATGCTGAAAGTGAGACTTTAAGTGATAAGCTTTGAAAGATTGATGCATATGATAGTAGAATGCAAGGAAAATCTTCTAAATCAAAGGAAGGGGATGGGGAATAGCAGGTTTGGGCAATGGAAATTGATGAGAATGTTGATAACCAAGGCCAGATTTTCTCTCTGAAAAAACAAGTTCAAGGGACTGATCTGACTCAAATGCTGGATTCAATGAAGGCTGTTGGTGTGGAAGCTTATCAAATTCCTACCAGTCAAGAAGAGAGTGAGGGGGGACATGATACTCTCATCAATTCTCAAGAGAGTGTCATCACAGATGATGGTTCAAACAAAGCCCCAATGATTCCTACTATTTCTGAAGCTGAGGGATCCAAAACAGCTGCCGCTAAAGATCAAGCTAAGGAAATTCAGGTGAAGAGGAGTGAAAGGCTGGTAAAGGATGTGATTTTTACCACTCAAGAAAAGAATGAAGCCATGGCTAGAAAAAGAAACCTAGAAGGTATCAATGTCAAAACTCATATTATCGTTGATATGGATAATGATGTGCTTGGGAAATTAGCTAAAATATGTGTGTGCTTGTTCATGATAATGCTTATGCTACTTTTGACTTGCTTAAAGATCTTGAGTCTGCTAGGAATTGTTTGAATGATAAACATGCTAAGTTATCAGAAAATAACCCTGGTGTTAAAATTGTGGAATTTGATCCTAGCATAGAGATAGTTCTGATAGAAGATGAAAAATCTGATGAAGATCCTGATCTTGAAATGTTGATTATTCAGAAGTCAAATGACGTTGAATAAGAAGAGTGTAAGAATCTCCCTAGGGGGGAGAAAGCAAGATCAGGAAGCTCCTGGCTTGCATGATTCCAGAAACCTTAAAGTTTGTGTGAATTTGAATAAAAGGAAAAAACAAAGAAAAAGATGATGATACAAGGTCTTTTTTTGGAACTGTACGGGTCTTAAGAAGAAAGGTGTGTCCACATTTCTAAAGAATCTTATCTATGATAATAAGTTTTATTTTTTGGGAATACAAGAAACAATGATTGCAAAGTGTAATGAATCTTTATTGAGAAAGTTTGATACAAATCAAGACAACCTTTGGATGTGGAATTCCTCCAAAGGTAAGTCTGGTGGGATATTGGTTGGTGTTTTGTTAGAAACATTTGATGTGGGATCTTTTAAAAAAGGAGAATTCATGCTACAATTGAATTTATGGGATAAGGTGTTAAAGACTAAATAGAATTTGCTAGTAGTCTATGGAGCAGCCTAGGAAGAGAATAAACTTTCCTTTTTGTCTGAGTTATCTACATTTTGTGCAGCAAACTATAAACCCATGATAATAGGAGGTGATTTCAATATTATTAGATATGTTAAAGAAAAGAATACTATGGATGGGGTACCTAGGCATACTCCTTTGTTCAATTCTTTGATTCATTTTTATGAGCTGAGGGAGTTGATGATGAATGGTGGGTTATTTACATGGTCTAATAATCAAGAAAAACCCACTTTGGAAAAACTGGACAGAGTCTTGGTGACAAAGGATTGGGAAGATCTCTTTCTTGAGGCTTTGGTGAGTAAATTACCAAGAGAAATTTCTCATCATAATCCTCTGGTGGTTTACACTGGGAAAAAAGTGAATCTGCCATTTATTTAGTTCAAGTTTGATCGTTAAAAAATCCCGAGTTTTATGCTATGGTTGAAAAAAATTTGGAATAGACCTTGTAGAGCTAAATCCACTCTTGATAGAATTCATCAAAAGTTAAAATTATTTAAGCAGTATTTTAAAGGCTGGGGGTTTAATTTTCAAGGTGAACTAAGAAAGCAAAGAAAAGAGTTTCAGAACAAGCTAATTGAGTTGGAATCTTTGGAAGAGACTGAGGGGCTAACTGTTAACCAAGTTGATAGGAAGTTATGGTTGATGTGAGAAAATCTTAAGAGTCTTGAACAAGAGGAGTTGTATTGGTATGAAAGAAGTCATGAATCTTGGCTTCTTAAAGGGGATTGTAACACTGCTTTTTTCCATAGATGTGCAAATGGTAGGAAAAGAAAAAATAACATCATCAGTTTAGAAAAAGATGGAGTGAATATTAAAGGAGATGAGAATTTGCTGCAACATGCTTCTGAATACTATGCTAACCTGTTTGGCCCACCCATTGATTATTATATCCAGTTGGATTCTGATATGTGGGAAGACATTCCCAAAGTGGGAGAAAATGATAACCAGTTG